TACTGTTTGGAGAAGCAGGGGAAGCTTTGCTGTTGCAGTTGCATCTGTCTTTTCTAGATTAGTGTGTGGTTTAGAAACAAGCAAATCCTCCTCCATTTTTAACAGGAATCCAGGTATTTCTAAGGTAGGTTGTCGGGAGCCAGACTTAGAGGACTGTCACTCCTACTAAAATAAATAAGAAAGATACCTTACATGGATTGGGAATGCTATTTTAGTAGCCTTCCTTCCATGAGAGCATGCAGTAACACCTGTATTTCTGACCAGCAAGTTTAACACTGAAAATTCTGACCAAAGTCTAAAGAACTTGTAAAACCAGTGTCGTTAACCTGGAGTCCATATATTTTGAGAGTCTCTTTGGATGAGCTTCAGGGAGCCCTGTGAATCCCATAGGATTACAGGCAATATGTGACACGTACATTCTTTCTGGAGAAAGATCCTACTGCATTCATCAGATTCTCAAAGGTGTTTGGACCCCCAAATATGTTGTATCTCATATTAAATGTTGTAACATATTTTTGCTCCCTTGAGATGAAAGAGCTAGGAGTTCCCCTAAATACCAATGTAAGTGATGGGAGAGCCTTGCAGTCACGTCTAGAGAAAGAAAACTTCCCTGTCAACCTATGCGGGGTACTCCCACTTCCTGCTAAGAGACAATGCTTCATTGATTCTTGATTCAGCATTCCGAGTCAAGGAAAAGAAATTGATTCTACAGCCACTCAAGTGGTGTTAGACAAAGTCAGTAGATATTATTGTACAATTACTTTCTTTAGGCTTATTATCTTCAACTTCACCATACTTTCATGCAATACACTAACTATTCTAGAAAATAAGTACAAGGAAAAATAATAATATCTATTTTTTGGTTATGTTTCACCCTAAGTTATTTGCAGAGTATCTTCTTGGTAGAAAAAAAAATACTCACCTCATCATTCTACTTAAAGGGCTATGCAAGTTTTAGATGTATAATTTTAAAATTCAGTATTATCATGCGAAATCATCAAACATTTCTATTTTTAGCTATTTAGTAATCACACATGATTTTTTAAAACAATGTTTATTGTTTTGTACCATTAAGTGATACAACCATAATATATTATAATTCTATTACTTAATTTATCAGCTTTATGTAATATACTTTGACTTCACAATGTTACAGATGATACCATCAGTCAATATTGTACCCACAGGTTTCTACATATGGTAGTTACATAGGCTTGTTTGTTTGAGAAATCACTAAAATTCTTCCTGTTTTACTCTCCCGATTTTTGGTTATTTGTATATTTTCAATTTCCAGGGCATATACAATTTATTTTGGACTTTTTCACTGAATCCACACATTTCTTCTAGTCTCAGTTCTACTAAGTATATTAAAGGCTTATCACCAGCCATTTTGCTAAAGTTTTCCTTGTCATCCCTTGATTGGCTGAAGTTCAGTCTCTCGTATGTGAGCAGTATTTCTTGAGTTGTGGCACATTCTGTATTGTTTGTGGCTTTATATTAACAAACATCTTTGCTGGGCATAAAATCCTAGGCTTAAACTTTGTTTCCTTGAATATGTCAGAGGTTTTGTTCCACTGGCATCTAGTGCTGAATACACACAAGGAGAAATCAAAGGTCAGCCTGAGGCTTTTTTTTTTTTTCTGGTTAATAATATGATATTTTTGGTTGGCTATTTAAAAGATGCTTTTTGCATCATAAAGGCTAATGAATTTACTAGAATATGTCTTAAATACGTATATCCTGAGTATGTAGCAGAAAGATATATCTTAGCATTGACTGGGGTCAGTTTTCACTGCTGTGTAATATATGCTTTCAATAGATATGGTTATTCTTTTCTGTTTTTAACATTTTTCCCTCAAATTGTATTTTAAATATTTGTTCTGTTCCATTAGTTTTGGTTTCATTTTCCATGGATTATGATTATGAATATATAGCTTCTGCTTTGTCTGGCTTTGTACCTGTCATTTTTCCCTAATTCTTTATATCTTCCATTTTAATTTTGATTTCTCGCCTTGCCTCATTTATATCCTCTATGTATTTGCTGTGTTTTCTTCAGTGTCTGTTCTCATGTCTCCTCTTTGTAATTCTTTCATATTTCAGAGATGGTTTTAGTTTGTTTCTTCCATTTCACTGAATTCTGCCAGTTGAAATTCTATTTCCTCCCACTGCCTTGAGTTCTTGTACTTATGATTCATGGTCTTCCTTCATAGTAGTAAAAGCTTTATTACAATTTTCAATGCATAGTAAAACTTTAGGTGACAGCTCTCATATCTGGTCTGTAGCAACATTTTTCTTATAAATGCTCATCAATGGCAAGTTTGTAGCTTTCTTTCACATTTTTTTTCTAATAGGATTTTGGTTTTAATTGGCTGCCAGTTTTCAAAAACTATTTGTCTATTGAAAGCGTTGTTGTTTCCTAGATAAGATTTTGTAGATAAATTTCCTGGGTGGGTGGGTGTACGGCTGGGGAAGGCAGAATAGTGTACGTGGTGAACGTGCATATATGAATGTCCAGAAATGCCTTTGGGCTTCACAACTCAAATCTAGCCTTTTATCTTAAACTCTGATCCAAACTTGTGTCTCTGGGATGGTCATTTACCTGAGGTTTCATGAAAGGAACCAACACTAGTCCTGGATCCTGGAGAAGCTTTTAGCCATTTTGTTGAATATGCGAACTCTGGCATAAGGTCAGCTTTGGAAATTAGAACCTGCTGTATGAGGAAAACACCTATTATAAAAATGATTTATAAGCTATATCCACTAAAACTGACCATTTGTCTTCATCTGAAAACACAGGACTCTAGTGGAAAGATCCTTAAATCTAGAGTAACATAGAAGGTAAATTTGGACACATAGCACTTACGTTGTAAGCACTGGGTCAAGAAATACCTGAAGTACATATAGGGTCAGAGACAATTACAATTTTTTTTTTTGAGCAGTAATACTCAGTGGAAATAAATGTTTTGGCATTAAATGGACCTGGATTTGATCCAGGTTCTAAGCATAAGATCATGAACAAATTAGTAACCGTCTCTGAGCTTTTGTTTAAATTATCTAGGGAATGGTATTAGTGGTTGGCGGCATATCTGATTCACAGGTGAAGGTTAATAAATGTCAGTTTCCTTCCTCTCCACATTGACATTTGTAGAAATAATGAGTTGTGTTTATTTATAAAAACACCACCCTTAAGCAACAGGTGATACTTCTTGGATTATTTGTTGGACAAGATGATAGAAGAATACAAGTAAAGAACAATTTGGTTAATCTCTGTACTGGCCCTCAGAATCTGGTATAAAGAGGGCTTTACCAACAAAAATAAAAAGCAGCCATATCTTCCTGTCATTAAAAATACCTTTACTTTAGAAAGTGATGGTTCATAAATATCAGCACTCCTGTGTAAGGAAGCAGTGTGCCGTTATTGGCAATGGCCAATAGAGCCTAGTTCATGAAGACCAGGATGGGGCTCCTATAACAAACTGTGATTAAACCCAGTCTTGGTCTTTCAACCCTTCACCACTTCAAAACCCAACAGGTTGAAGTTCTAACAGGTTGAACTCTTCAGCTGAATTTCCAATAGGTTGAACTGATGTGGATTTCCAATGTCTGTCTTAACTTCTTCCCCAGTATCTTGGCAAGCTGCTGGGCATCTACATTATCTTGCTGCAGAAAGGAGAACTGGATAACTTCTTATACTGGCTGCCCCCCCCATGCTATCTTGGCCCTGGGATCATTGTTCTGCTCCTCCACTCCAGATCCACTTGTTTTCACTATCTAGTTAGTTAAATCACTTTTGTTGAACTTGTCTATCACCTTTGTGGCTTACTTGTACTGTACCAGAGGCTGATTCCCAGTAAGAACTCCACAAGAGGGCAGACCTACCTACTAAGTTCCTTACTTTCTTGGTCTCACATGCCATGCTCACCTTATAATAATACTTTTTTTTTTTTTTTCTGAGACAGAGTTTCGCTCTCGTTACCCAGGCTGGAGTGCAATGGCGCGATCTGGGCTCACTGCAACCTCCGCCCCCTGGGTTCAGGCAATTCTCCTGCCTCAGCCTCCTGAGTAGCTGGGATTACAGGCAGGCGCCACCATGCCCAGCTAATTTTTTGTATTTTTAGTCGAGATAGGGTTTCACCATGTTGACCAGGATGGTCTCGATCTCTTGACCTTGTGAACTACCCTCCTCAGCCTCCCAAAGTGCTGGGATTACAGGCTTGAGCCACCGCGCCTGGCCTTATAATAATACATTTAAGTGTTGCAAAGCAATCTGATGGAAACATTAATGAGCCAGAAATTTCAATTCTTCCAGTTAAACATTGACACAATTAGATCATCAGAAAGCAAAGAGCCTAGGCCTTGTTATTGGTTCTTTGCAAGAATAACTCAGTCCACCGTGTTAAGATTGAGTATTATGCTCTCAGTACCATTAGAGCCTCCGTAAAAGAAATGTCCATTGAACAAAGTGCACCTTTCTAAAAACTGCAGTTGAAGACATGGTCTCTTCCGTGTTCCAATATCCCTTACAAAAGAACTAACAAAGTGAGCTTTACCTTTAAGTCAATGTCAAGACAGTTTTTCTCTATAGAATTATTTAGATGTTTTAAATTATGTAATTAAAATGATATAGCCAAGAAATTCTTCTTAATCTGATATTCCAGAAAATTTGGAATCATATTCAGTGCTTATGTACTTGTAATTTAGTCAATTCAGATGCCAAGTACCACATATCATTTTGCTTCTCTTGGGTTACTTATTTATTTTACTTTTTTCCCATCTTCAAAACACTAGTCTCTTCACTAATTATCATGAGGAAGCACATTTTACATTTACAGCTTTATTACGGCATAATTGAAAAAGAAAAAATTGCATACATTTAATGTTCACAATTTTATGAATTTGAATATATGCAAATACTCATAATAACATCACCACAGTCTAAGTAATAAACATATTCAGCACCTGCAAATGCTTCTTTGTGTCATTTTGTCATTTTGGGGGGTAAAAATATGGTAATATGGGATGCTTTACGTGTGTCACCCTTGCACAAGGACCATACTAATCTTCTGGGTGTTGTTACAATTTTAGTATACAGGATACTGAAACGAGCACCATGAAAAACCACTTTGCATATCCTTATGAGAGGACATGAATAAAGCTATCTATGTATTTCACAGACACTTTTAGATTTGACACTTTGCTTCTAAGACTCCATATGAAGGAGGAAGAAGGTATTTATATTTATTTTTATTGATTTTCACCAGCTTGATGCATTTTCTTTAAAAAATAGCATTGGCACCAAAACTGACTAATTATTATTTGTTTAATTTTGAAGGTAATATGTACTCTGTTAAAAAATATTAAATTGAAAATTCCACTACCCCTAATTTCCCTCATTTCGCTCCCTGTAGCTAATCACTGCTAGGAGTAGTTTCTTACCGTAGCATTACAGGAATTGCCTTCAAATTACTTTTTAGTTTTTATTTTCAATAGATCAATTAAACTATTTATAATGTAGTTAGAGTATGGATTATAGAACCAAACAAATAATTGAAGGTCACTAAACTGTCAGTCAGCACTTACAGAAAAGCAAAAACACTTAGTTAATAAATCCATCCATCTATGTATCCATATAAAAGTTTGTCATGCCCAATTAACTATACATAGAGATTGTATTTTTTAAAATATAATATATAAGCCTTTCTATTGTGGAATCTAAGATCTGAGAGTAACCTTAGAACTATATTAGTGTTACTTCCTAATTTTCTAAGTAAGGTAAGTGAGGACTAGATAAACTAGTTTTATGGGATGAATCCAAATCCCTTGACCCCCACTGTATATGAGATAATATCAAACTCTGTGAACTAGAGATGTAACAACTAACTATGGATGCTCAACAATTTAAATGAAATAAAACACAGCTACAAAATACTTCACTGGCAAAAAAAAAAAAGTACAATGAATGAATCCTAATTATGTCAATAACATTTGAGAATAAGTATTACACTATGAATAACAAAAAAGAATTACTTACTCCCAAGATCTTTACAGGCTAGCAAGGGAGGTAAGACACAAACATATTTTTAAAAATCTAGCAATACAAAGAGAAATGAATACAAGATAACTTATAAGACTGCTATAGGAATTAGCAATTGCTATAGAAATGAGTACTACAGGGATGAGAGGCAGGAATAACTTATGCTTAGTAATCATGTGATGGAGGAGGTGGTATTTCAGTCAGGCTTATAGGCTATTTAAAAGAAAGAGGATTTCTTATGATGATAAAAATAGGTATAAACAAAGGTGCAAAGATAAGAAAGTTTTTGGTGTGTTTAGAAGACAGTGAATGCCTGAATTTGGCTGGAACTTTGGATTTTTACATGCAACGGTTGACAGTATTAAATGGTAGGGATGCTTGGGAGGATGGAAGACTCTAAATGGCACACTTAAGAACTTGTATTTTACCTTGCAGGTAACAAGAAGCCACTGAAAGTCATTAGGGAATGGGGTAATATAAAAGTGGCATTTACCTAGGTGACTCAGGTAAAGCATCTGCTAGAGAACTGGGGCTAGGGTAAGAGTAGACATTACGGAAGTAGGCTAAGAGGTGATCCCCAGTAGTAGAGCTTGGGTACCTGTAGAAAACAATTCCTCTTCTGATAAAAACTGTCCATTCTCTGATTTCTCTGGATAACTATGAGAGACAGATGATCTCAAATGAGCTGATGATCTGCAGGATAACTCCAAGAATGTCCATATCCACCTATTTATTACATGTTGCTATGGGTTGAATTGTGTCCTCCTAAATACATATGTTGAAGTTCCAACTTCTAGTACCTCAGAATGTCACCTTGTTGGGAAACAGGATCACTGCCGATGTAATTAGTTAAGATGAAGTCATACTGAGTAGGGTATGTCCCAATCCAATATGACTGATGTCATTATGAAAAGGAGAAATGTGGGCACAGACACATACATCAGGAGAACACCATGGGAAGATGATGGAAGAGAACAAGGTGATGCTTTTACAAAGCCAAGGAACACCACAGATTGACAGCAACCCACCAGAAGGGGCGTGGCATGGATTTCTTTCTTACAGGACTCAGAAGAAACTAACCCCGCTAACAGTGTTATCTTGAAATTCTAGAACGGTGAGAAAAGACATTTCTGTTGTTTAAGCCCCTCAATTATGGTACTTGTTACAAAAGTCTGAGCATAATAATGCATGTATGAACACTAGAATCTAAGAATCCAGGAAGACACCAAGTTTAGAGCTTGGATTTTGACGTTCTCTTGAGGCATACAGGGCCAAAAATGCTATTAACTAAATTTACAGAATTCTCAGAATTGAGAAATTCTCATAGTACTTATTGCTTGGATATGTTCTAAAAAATCTAAGAATTATGAAGAAGAAAGAGAGTCTAAGTTAAAAATAAACTTTGAGGCTAAATAACTTCTTGGTTCTAAGGATTCTGTGTGATAGTAACAGCTTTTTGAAATATGTAGTCATAACTAGCATTTTAAGTATGCTTGAGTTCAAGATTTTCATTCATTTTGCATTTGTTATTTCCTAGCCAAGAAAATCACCCCTTATCCATTATTTCCAGTGTTGCACAGATAACTGCCAAATGTGAAGAGATGTTTAAAATGTAAAACTGTTACCAAGTGATTTGGCAATAATTTCCATTGTTAAGAATGCTCATAGGTAAACCATTTCTACATTTTTCTCCTCTTAAAATTACATTTTACTAGTCAGACTAAAGGAAGAATAGAACTAAGTTAGATGGGCTGATCAAAGAGTCCATAATTTTTGAGGGAAGTGTAATATCCTACATTGAGGTGTTTTTATTTTTATTTTTTTTAATGTTGCCATTCTGACCTAATCAGAGAAAAGAAACCATCATCATTGTATTCATTTTGTTATGAGTCGTTCCTTCAACTCACTTCCTACTTAATTAAGAAATCACTTATTAACACAAATAGCTTCATTTTTTTCCCAACTATCCTTGCAAATACTCATATAATTTCCTATGCACTTTTCACTGCTCAGAAAAATCAATGCAGTTTTCAGGTTTTGTTTTCATAGTATAAAATTTATGATGAAAGTACTTTACTGTGAGTTTTTCCCTTTTGATTTTAACATGTGGTGGGATAAACTTCCCTAAACAGCTTTTGGTTCTGATTTATCTTGCTCAGACTGTTACTGCCTGTCTGATAAAGCATCAATCCTTTTCTAGGCACTAAGGCCCTCTGCAACCTGTACTGAGTCTTTCACCAGTTCTCTGATCCACTAATTCTCTTAAAGAAGTCTGTGCTGTCAGTATTATATTTAACTTATGGTTTGCTGAACCCTCTGTACTCCTGGGTTATTGCTCTTCCTCCAGTTTATTACTCTTGGAGTACTTTCTATTCCTATGGCCAGGATTCCATGTTCAACATTTCATCACACCTTATCTGGTTTTCTTAGGCAGAAATGATCCCTTCTTTTGCATTCTTAGAGCTATTGGTTCACACGAGTACACAATTGTTTATAGGGATATGTCCTATACAACTGATTATTGCTCATTAAATTCATATATTTGAGAATAACACAAATACACTATTATAGTTGATCTTATGTGAGCATAGAGATTCCAGCTCTCTTAAACATCCTGAGTTACTTGTTTTCGGATTCCCTGGAAAATGGTGTCATTTCTTTATTTGTGGTTATGATCCCATCAATTCTTGACTTCAACAATCCTCACCTTTTTTATGTTAATTTGAGAGTGTTCATCTTTACCTTTTAAATTTTGTCCTAACACGGCTTGAACAACGTTTTATTTTACAGAGCCTGTTCCATAGATATTTGTTGGTTGAAGTTAACTGAATACCTTTCTGTCATGTCAACGTCTTGTAAAAAAAATAGCACACTAAAACCACAACAAAAAAGATCTGACCCCACTGTCAAATCTATATTTAATGCTTTATAATTTTATTAAGTTATTTGAATACATGATCAGTACTAAATGTCTTCATTTACCCTCAATCCTACCATAATTACCCAAGCCTCTCTGTTCTTCCACAATCCCATGATTCTTTCTGTGCTGTCTTTTTCTCTTCACCTCTGTCACACTGTGGACCATCTCTATCTTAAGCATTTTTTTTTTTTGTCTGTACAGCTTCATTGACATGAGGGATCCATTTCACTTAGCTTTTTAACCACACCTGTGTTACACATGGATTATCACACCCCTCAGAGCTCTGGTCTTCTTCTCTTGTCCCTTTCATCTTACACCTCTTCCTTGAGTGATATTCCTGCACTCCCAACTGGCCAGACTTCCCATGTGGAAGAGCTGTTCTCCTCTTAATTTTAAAATATATCATACTGAGAAGATTCCTTAGAGATATACTCTGTTTATCTATTTGGTAGACTTCAGCTGAAAAGTCCAATAAATGTGAATAATAAAAGTAAAAGCACGGATAAAACTTAAGTACAGTTGTTAATTGGAAATATTTCATGGATAGCTTTGTGTGTATGGCCATAAACCTTCAACTGTCCCAGGATTATATCTGAGAAAAATCTTATGTAAAATTACTAGTGCTATATCATTTAGAGATTCAACATCAATTAGTGTATCTTCTGATGACAACAAATTGTCCTTAGAAATTATCAGGGGAGACTTGCACTATAAAATCTGATTAAAAAGCATGCTAGCTGGTAAATTTTTTATCTAAAAATATAAATCAAGAATACTAAAATAGTGCACTTGATAAAAATAAACAAATAAGATCCAATCTCATAAATTAAATAAGCATTTTTAAAATCTGTGAACTATGCCTACTTAAGAGATAATGAATTTTCCAGAAATGTTTTGTTTGTCCCAAAGCAAAATGCCGTCATTTAAGCAATCTTATTTCAGCTCTGTTTTAATGTGCTACATATTTTCTAGTTTAATTACACAAATAAAGGAAATTACAATGGTATTTTGGAGGGACAATTAACCATAACTCTGATACTATCTAATGTAATCAGAGTATGGTATTAAGGGGAGATCACCTAATGTTTATAGATGCTCTGACATTGTATCAATTCTTTTGTATTAGCTAAATTGTTTGATGCTAATGCATAATTA